ACAGGCTCAGTAGATGTGGTGCACGGGCTTAGTTGCTCTGCGGCATGTGGGATCTTCCCGGGCCAGGGCTCGAACCTATGTCCCTTGCATTGGCAGGCAGATTCTTAACCACTGCGCCACCAGGGACAGGCTGTTTGTTTTCTTATAATTGAGGATTTTTAAAAATTGAGATATAAGTGACTTTTTTTTAAAGATATATTTATTTATTTTATTTATTTTTGGCTGCATGGGGCTTAGTTGCAGCATGCGGGATCTCTTTTGAGGCGTGTGGGATCTTTCGTTGTGGTGCATGGGCTTCTCTCTAGTTGTGGTGTTTGAGTTTTCTCTTCTCTAGTTGTGGCATGCAGGCCCCAGGGCGCGTGAGCTCTGTCGTTGTGGTGCACAGGTTCCAGAGCATGTGGACTCTGTAGTTTGCCGCACACAGGCTCTCCAGTTGAGGCACGAGAGCTCAGTAGTTGTAGCACGTGGGCTTAGTTGCCCCAGGACATGTGGGATCTTAGTTCCCTGACCAGGGATTGAACCTACATTGTAAGGTAGATTCTTTACCACTGGACCGCAAGGGAAGTCCTGAGATATAACTGACTTTCAAAATTATATTAGTTTCAGGTGTACAGTGTAGTGATTTGATATTTGTTTATCCTGTAAAATGGTATAATTGAGTTTTGAAAGTTCTTCATAGATTCTCTATAAAAGCTCTTTTACAAAGACTGTATTTTGCCTACATTTTCTCCCAGTCTATAGCTTGTCTTTTTATTCTCTTAACAGTATCTAAGGGAATTTTGATGAAGTCCAATTTATCAGTCTTTTCTTTTATGGATCATTCTTTTGGACTCGTATCTAAGAAATCTTTGCATAACTAAAGATCACAAATATTTTCTCTTGTTTTTTTTTTCCTTCTGTTTTTTGGCTGTGCAGCATGCAGGACTTTAGTTCCCAGACCAAGGATCGAACCTGCACCCCTGAAGTGGGAGCGCTGCACCTTAACCACGGGAACACCAGGGAAGTCCCTCTTTTGTTTTCTGTTAAACATTTTATAGTTTTAGTTTTACATTTCTGCCCCCTGGATATCTCTGTGGCTCTGTGAAGGGGGTCATCTGCACTTGCTGTGCCCATGGCTTTACCCCCTCGCTCCTCCGCTCAGGAGTCTTGTTTCTTTTCCCATCTCCCTGCCCACCGCCTGGAGCCCCTCAATGTAGAGTCCAGGTGCCATCGTACCAGCCCAGCCTGAAGTACTTGGCATGTGTGCTGGGCCATAGCTCCTCCCCCATGAGCTTCTATCAACCCTCTGAAGAGCCTTCCGGGGCTGGATAGGAGCCTCCTGCGGCTCGCTGACCTTCCTTCTGCCGTGTATCTGATCAAGGTGTTGAAGCCATAATGACCTGGGTCTGTCTTCTACTCCACTTTTCTACCACTAGAAGTCCTACAGCAGGCCCGTGCCCAGGGCCCAGGTCAGGACCTCGCACAGAGGAGGGGCTCTGGGGAGGTTTGCTGATTGAATGTGTGAGAGAACTCTATCTCTGCTCCTAGCCACAGATGCAGCAACCTGGGCATGAGAGACTTAACTCTCACATTGGAGGTTAGATCCCAGCTCGCCACCTGGGCTGTGGGGCCCATGATGCGGCCTTGAGGACTTCTTCGACCTCATCTTTGCCTGTCTCTTGTTTACTGCTGGCCTTTTCATTCCCTGAGCACACCGTACTCTTTTCTACCTCGCCCTTGGGAGTGGCTGACCTCTCTTCTGCTCTCTCTGCCAATTCTCTTGTAATTCAGATCGTGGGTTGAAAGCCCCCTCCTTGGGAAGGTTCGCCTTCCCCCAACTGCCCAATCTCAAGGAGCCACTTGGTCACTAGCTGCCATCATCAGTTTTGATTGTCTTAGTGGAACATCCTCACCATCTGACAAATTCTTCACTTATTTGTTTGTGGTTCCTAGAACATCACTTCAGGAAGATGCCTGGAACAGTGCCCAGCACTTATGGGGCCTCCATGTTGAATGGTAAACATTGAATGTTGAGTGATTTACTGGAGTCAGTTAGGGCAGAGCCAGCCTCAGGACCCAGATGTCCAGGTGGCTGGACCAGGCCTCTTCTCCTGCTTGGCCTCACCAACCCTGCCACAGGTCAGCAGTATTCTGATCAGGTCCTCATGCCTGCGGGGGTCTCGGCTGGTAGACCTATGGTCCCACCCAGCGATCAGCCCATCACTCTTTTCTCCCCTCCCTGGGGAAGGTGCCACAGCACAGGGTCCTCCAGGGCCCTCACCAAGGCTCAGGAGCCAGTGGGGCAGGAAGAGGTGCTGACCCAGGGACCAGCCCAAATGGCCTAGCTGCACAGGCGCCTAGCCTCACTGCCTCTCGTACAAATGGGACAGAGGTCAAGAGGGGAGAGAGATATTTGAGGTTACACAGAGTCGGCAGCTGTGAGAACCCACTTCTCTCGCTGGCAGTGAAATTCCCCAAATTAAAACCCAGAAAATCAGCAGGTTCCTGTCACCCAGGGGCTTGGACACTTCCTGGCTGGTCCCAGCCTGTCCTTAGGCCCTGCCCACTCAGGACTTGGCTGACGTGGCCAGACCCAGGGAAAGGAGGAGGGAGGGCAAGAGTGTGCCCCTCCACCCCATGACTCACTTGGGGGAGGTGGCAGTGAGGGGACCAGACAGTGGCATCCCCTTGGCCCAAGGGCGGGTGCTGACTCAGGCAAGCAGTGATGAATGGAGCAGGGTTCTCCTGCCACCATGACTCACCCCTACCCACCCATCTGTTCTCCAGGAGAAACTATTTTGAGGGTGATTAGTATACGTCCCAGGATGCTACCTTGCTGGGGGACAAGCAGCTTCCCACTCTTGCAGAGGGCAGACTGGGGGCCAGCCTAGTGTCTGCTTTGAGAATGGAGTTTCCTTTTCCACCCCAGCCTGGTCCCGCTGTTGGCAGGGTTGGGTTTCGACCTGTTTGCTGATTCAAGGAAGCATCCTGGACTGGGCTGGCTGCTGGTGTTTGAGGATGAATGATTATGGCCCTGCTGATGAAATGGTACTTGTCATTTATTCTGGGCCAGCTACGGTGCTCAGCATTTTCCACTCACTGTTTCATTTAATCTTCACAAGTAGGTGTAATTATTATACCCATTTTAGAGGTGAGAGAACTGAGACGCCTGAGTAGGTGGAGTGGTTGCTTGAGGTCACCCAGCTCAGGAGCGGCAGGGCTGGGATTGGAATCCTTGTTTTCTCAGGGAGCAGAGTCTAGACTCTTCCCTGATGGGCGCCCTCCTGACATGTTCCCTGGGGAGGGGACTTGGTCTTGCTTTTCTCCTTCCTGGCTCTTCTTTGCCTCCTGATCCCTGGGCTCCCAGGCCCCCTGTGTACACCTCTCCTGTAACTACTGTCCCACCTGTGCTCCCCAGGCAGGCAGTGGGTGCTCATGGAGTGTTTGTGAATAAGTGAGCCTTTTTTTGCAAGGAACTCTGAGTCTACCAGAATGTTCTTTCTCCCCTTACCCCCAGGTCTCCCGCTGCACCCCTTCAGAGCCAGCAGTTGGTGAATAAATGGAGGCAAGAACGTATGAATGAATCATTTCTGTGCCTGAGCCATGGAGAATTTGGAGGTTTGTTCAAACCCGGACTCTCCGTTCTTTCAGCTGGAGGGGCTGGCCAGGAAGGCGATCTCGGCACCTGAGTTGGGCCTCCCCCAGGCCTGTCAGCTCCCTGGCACGTGCACAGGGAGTGGGAATGGGTGAGTGGGAGTGGGTATGGGCCCTACTCTAGTAGAACCTGTGCTAGGTGTTTTATTTATATTAACATAAATAGGAATGAGTATGTGAGGGGACCTGGGGCCCACAGGCAATGGGCAACCTGTGCACAGGGACACTGAGACAGGCTGGGCTTCTCCCTGCCAGGGCAGAGGAAAGGGAGAGCTCTGCCAGGGCCTGGGCATCCTGGACTGGGGCCTCTCTCTCCTCGACAGGCTCTGTTGAAGGAAGCGGCCCATGGAGGGGCCAGACATCAAGGGCTCCTGGGACCTTGTGCAGATGTGGGATGTCTGGCCTGAGAGCTTCTAGGCCCAGTTCACACACTTGGGTGGGGAGGGATCGATGTTGGCCTGTTTGGGGGGTGAGGGGCCTGAGGAAACGCCGGTCCTTTTGATGCCCCAGAAGAGCTGCTTGCCCCCTGCCCCAGCCTGGATGGAGGTGGCATCCCCCAGGCCTGTCACCTTTCCCACACCCAGTGGCAGCCCTCCCCCCACACCCCAGTGGCACTCTTCCATAGCAGTTTCCACAGTTTTATACATGAAAAGGTCACACATGGGGCAAAATCTCAGCTTCCCCACTTACTAGTTTTATGAATTTTGCAGGTAATCTAACTTGGAGCCCATTTCTCAGTTGTACCATGGAGATAATACCTGTTATCACCAGGTTGTTGTGAGTGTAAAATACGATTCAACAAATACCTAGCTGACGTTTTCAACCCTTGGGCCTTGCGAGGCTGATGTGCATCACTGCTGGGGAGCGGCACCAGGTACCAAGGAAGAGGGAGGAGACGCTGATTTCCTCCCTAGCCCCGGGCTCAGGCAGGCCACGTCAACCCTGAAACAGCTCCAGAATTGCCCAGCCAAGAGAAGGGTCGAGAATCTAAGCACCAGGTTTTTGGATGGAACCTGACCTAGGTAGGCTATTCTCATCCTTGCCCACTCCTAAGGGTCTAGTGGTCTCTGATGGCCAAATACCAGAAGAGGTGTGTCCTGTTCTCACCACCTGTCAGCAGAGGGAGCGGGGCAGTTCCCAACCTCATGGAACCTGCTTCCGTGTGGAAAAGGCCCTGTGGGAATGGGCACCCCGAAGTGTCCTGGGCCGAGGGGAGAGGTGGTAAAAGGGGCCTGTGACACTGTGCCCACCCAGGGGTCAGGTGAGGATGACCAATCGTTTCGTGAAGTTCACAGGGGCTGGGTCACTCCAACTCTCCCTATCCCAAAAGGGGCCCCAGAAACAAAACAAGCAGGGAGAAGCAGAAGGTTATTATATATCATGCTTTTAATACAAACTTAAAAAAATCTGGAACAATATAAACTGTACAGATTTGATCAATCTTTTTGTTTTGTTTTTAAACTAAATCTCTAAACACACCAATGTTCCATTCCAAAATATTGCACAACATTCTGAATACAAAACACTTGATTGTATTCCTCCTTCACTAAAGAAAACAAATTCATTACCCTGCTCCCGCGAGCTCCTCTCCATGTTGCCTCAGTGCCCCCCTTCCCATCCCCAGGGGTCAAACTAGAGAATCTACAGCTCACTGCACTGAGAAAAAGACATCATTCTGGACAAAAAGTTTACTTCCTTTACAAGACGATCCACCTTTTGACTTGTTCCTGGGAAAGGGGGGTAGACAGAGAGAGGATGGGGAAAGGGGAGAAATAGGTTTTATTCTCCTCTTTTTTTATTTTAAAGTTTGTTTTTCCTGAAAAAATATCTTTCTCTCCTCTTAAGAAAAAATCTTGAAAAGAAAAAAATTACCTTTACGTTAGAAATATACATATATTATATATACCTCTTACATTTTACAAATGTAGCAAATTATTCAATACAAACGGACACCAAAAAATGTAAAAAATAAAAAAAAAAGTTTTCCTATGAAACCAGGTAAGTTAGTGCAGATTTTTGTTTTGTTTTCTTAAAAAAAAAATAAAGTTGAAGCAAAAATGCCTAGATTTGAGACAGACTGAAGTGGGCCCAAGAGCCCAGCACAGGAGTTATGCTCCTGATCACACATTTTTCTTCGTATTTCAAAAGACACTAAGGGGTTGGTCTCCCCCTCCCTGTATGTGGTGAGGAACAAGCCGCCCAGGGTGTGGTGGGTGCCTGTGTGCATGAGTGGGGGAAGAGGAAGCTGGAAGGGGGCATAAGGCAGCATCCAACCTTTCCCAGAGAGCAGCCTGGGCCTGTCACCTGTGCGGGAGCTGAGGGCTCGGGGGAGGGCGGCCCAGACGGGGCTGGCCCCTGAGAAGTCTAGGGGGGACAGACGGTGCCGGGCCAAGGAGCCAGGGCACTGCCCCGCGCGGGGAGGTAGAGCTGGTGCCCACTGCAGGGAGAGGAGGCTGGCAGTGTCCGTCTGGGCCGGATCCACTGCCACAGCAGTTGCCAACTTGGGGTCACTGGGGAGGATAGGGTGGGGTGCCAAAGGCTTTGGTGATGGGGGCCCTGATGCTACGTGCCCACTTGCAAAAGCGTCATGGCGTGGAAGCTAGCCCACTAGGGTTGGGTCAAGGTAAATTCTCTCCAGCAGAGGTGGGGAGGGCTCTTCAAGAATCCAGACACAGCACCTGCCGTGGCCAAGCGCCTGTCCAGCCCAGCCTGCTCGAGATCAGCATTAGGCCCAGTGGGCCTGGGTTGGACAGTGAGGGGATGGCAAGAGGTACCAAGAGGTTCTCAAGCAGGCAAGGGAAGAAATGTATTAAAGCAACATCTACAGCCAAAAGACCAAAGTCTCAATTCAAGGCTTTGGACTGCCCACTACAGGCACTGACCCAAAACCCCCCCCCCCCCCCCCCAGGGCGCTCAGGTAAGCATTTCCCACCCTGGGCTAAGGTCACACAATAGGAGGGTCCGAGTCCAGGGACTTCTCTTAGGTATCAGAGGCTGGGCATTCCCTCAGCCCCTCACTGCTAACCTTTTTTTTTTTTTTTTTTGGTCAAAAACAAACAAAAGTGCAGATCCCTCCGCAGTCTGGAAACCAGTTCCTTCTGCAGTGCTTTCCTCTGGAAGCGTCAGGCTCAGCCAGTCTGGCGCCACCACGTGAAGCACCCCACAAAAGGACTGACAACCCACCCCCAATGCATTCCCCACCCTCACACATAAATAAACACTTGCTGCGACCCAGAATCACACCCAGAGGGGAAGTTTCACATGGCTCGGAATCCTTTAAAACAGGAGAGCAAATCACGCACGCATGCATGCACATGCACACCTACACTCACCCCACCTCCCTACCCAAGAACTCAGGCCCAGGAAAGAAGGGGCTACATGAGAGAGGCCACATGTGCCAATGGCTGGGTCTCCAGGGCCTCGGTGATGGTCTGGGCCAGGTGGGAATGGTGGCATGGGGCCACAGGACAGAGATGAAAGGGACACCAGAGTGCTAACCTCCCTGGAGTCACAGACTTCAGCTCTAGGGGGAGGGTGTCAAGTGGCCAGCTGGCAGCTCCCTAGGGCCCAGGCCTGAGAGGAAGCAGGGGCTGGAGTCAGACCTATCTGGGTGGCAGGGCCCGAGCAGGCCTGCTGAGGTTGGATGGCTGAGTGAGAGGACAGCTGGGTGATGAAGACAGTGACACGGGGCAGTCTCTCCCTGTTCTGAGGAGGGCCAGGCCCCAGCCACTGTCTTCCTTCCCTGTGAGCTGGGACACACCAACCCTAAACCAGGCATGCGAAGGAAGGAGGGAGAGAGGGAGGGAGGGAGGGAGGGAGGGAGGGAGGGAGCAGGGAGCAGCAATTCACATCTGGACCATTCTTAGCACAGGAAGCCACTAATTAAAGATGTTATATAGAAAACTACATGTAAAAAAGAAAAAAAGAAAAAAATATAAAACCCAAACCAACCGAATAAATCGGAGGCAGGCAGGAGAGCAGCAGGGGGCTGAGCTAAACACCGTTCAGTGCTTCAGGGACCCCTCCCACTCCATGCCCGGGCTGGGTCATGTTTCTAGAAGTTAGAGTGAGAAGACTGGAAATCTTTTTGTGTATTTTTCTTTTCCTCCTTTTTTTGGCCTTTCCTTTCCTTTCTCTTTTCTGTGGTCTTGGGTGCTCCTGGCCCCGTGGGCAGGTGGGCAGTCAGTTGGCCAGCACGACGGGCTGAAACGGCTGGCTGGGATACTGCATGGTGTTCAGGTTGTAGCTGAGGCCTTCCACAAAGGGCGCCTTCTCCAAGAAGAGGCTGTTAGCGCCACCTCCAAACACCTGGGCCATGTCGAAGCTGCTGCTGTTGCAGGTGCCAGCCCCACCGCCCCCAAAGGGGGCCGGGGTGCCACTGCCCTGGCCATCGGCCCCATCACAGAAGAGGCTGGGAGAACCACCGCCGTTGTACACGAATTCCTTGGCATTGGGTGAGAGCTGGGACTGAGGGGCTGGGTTGGTGGCGATGAAGTTCAGTGAATGCAGAGACAGAGAGAGGCTCTTCTGCTTCAGCAGGCTGTTGGTGGGAGAGCGGGCCATGCGGGGCTGCTGCTGGGGGATCTGCTGGCCACTTGCCCCGCCCCCCGCCCCCCCACCCGCTGCCCCGCCCCCCTTCTTCATCTTGGTGGAGCCAAACTTGGTGGCTGCGAAGGAGGCGGTGGTAAAAGTGATGGGCTGAGCGGAGCGGGGCATGAAGGTGGGGCTGGGCGACTGGCCAAAGGACGGTGACGGGGAGTTGGACAGGGAGCTGTCCTGGCTGCCGATGGGCACAAACACCTGGGCATCGGGATTGAAGCTGCTCTTGATCTCCTTGTCCAGCTCTGGGGCAACACAGCCCTCGCTGTCATCCAGGTAGAGCACTTTCACAGCCCCCTTCTCACCAATCTGGTAGGACACCTCGAAAGGGTCAATCCAGACACTCAGCTCCTCGGGCACGTTGGCCCGCACATCCTCCACCGCCAGCCCACTCCGCTTGGCAGCCAGCTCCACCACGGGGTCCACTATCTCCCCAATGTGGACACAGCGGAAGCCAGAGCCCTTCAGTGGTTTGTCAGGGTACCAGTGGCCTTCATATTTCTTTTTCAAGAGTCGCTCTAGCTCCTCACCAAACAGGTCTGCCCGGCGCCGGGGCAGCTTGTTGTACAGGTAGGAGATGATGAAGTTCAGGGCCACTTTGATCTCCAGCTGCATCGTCCTTTCCTAGGCAGAGAATCAGCACAGGCACGTGCACAAGCCAAGGACAGTGGTAGGAAATGTAAGGTGGGCAGCCTTGGGCTCCAGACAACGCTGAAAAATGAGAAAGAAAGGCTTCATGAGTAGATATGCAGAAAGCCAGTGGGCATCAGACAGAAAAGCACCAACTTTGGATCACATAGCCTCAGGGTCCCATTTCTGCTCCACTAGTGACAAGTTTATATGTGTGACTGTGGGCAAGTCACTTTTTTCTGAGCCTTAGTTTCATCAGTAACATGATATTTTAGTTGGCACTTGATAAATATTTTTAAGTACTTCTAAAGAAATAGGGGTACTGTGGTTTCCAATATTTTGAGAATTCAGGTCACTTTATGAGTGACACCAAAAAAATCGAGCTCCTAAATCAGATGGAGAAGGGAAGGCTCTTGCTAACTTGTCTCTGCAATATCTCGGTGAAGTCCCACTCCCAAACTGTCACAGGCCAAGACAGGAGTTTAAAATCTTTAGTTTCAACCCCTTAAATGGAAAGGGATACAGGTCACTGAACAGGAAGCAGCACTGCCAACTTTTCACGGGAGGCCAGGACTCCAGTCGCATCCAATTTGTTATCCTGAGTTCCCTGGGTGTGCGTGTGCTCTGGCTCACTCTGGGTTTGCAGAGCTGATTCTTTTGCAGAACAGTGTAACCAAGGCGAGCATTTCCATCCAGACAGCCTCCAAGAATGGAGACTGGGGCATGATCCCCAGGAAAAAGTCAAGACCTATCACAATCAGAGGCATGGACCAACAAGGAAACTACTGACTAGGGGCTGCCCTAGGGAAGCAGAGGAAAGGAGAGGGAAGAGGGCCCTGTAGGCCAACAAAGCCTTAAGAGCAGTACTGGTGTGGCCTGAGGGAAATCTCTATAGTTTCTGGCTAGAGTGTAGGTGATGAGGTGGGCAGAGAGAAGAAATTTTCCATCACCCTACAGCCTCCAGCTGGGGACCCATCATCACTCAGTCTCCCAGGGACTGTCTGACCACCTGTCCTTGGCACCAGACCAGATTCATCACGTGTCTGGAGATCCCTGGAGAGGAGGCAGCCCAACATAAACACTCAGCTTGTTATTTTGGGATTCTCTCACAGCCAGATCCACAGAGGTCAAAAAGGTTTATTCCTGAGGTCTGGGCCAGCCTCATTTCTCAGGAAGATGATCTGTGAGGTCCTGAGAGCCAGTGATCCTAATTGCCTCACCTTCTCCAAAAGGGCAGATCCAGGTTCATGCCATGGGAGAGCTGAACTGCAAAGGGCCATCTTTGAGGGCCGACAGAGCCAGAACATGTTCCTAACCAGACCTCTGGGTGAGAATGTGCTGCTGAGCTCAGCACAGAGACAAGACTGATCCGCTATCCGTCAAGGGCATCTTTTGTCCCTGGAGCTGGATTTTGATTAAAATCCCTTCTGGGTCCAGCACACAGTATCCAGGTGCTAATTCTAGGCTTGAGGATCTTCAGCTTTCGGAACACCTGACCCAACTGGCTACGGCCTGGGACCATGGCTCCCCAGGGCGTTTTAAGGACGGAACCCTCAGGCAAAGCTCTCCGAGGTGAGTTTCAGAGAAAACGCACTGGGTTAATGTGGAGTATCTGATGACACTGGCCATGTCTAGCCCCTCCCTCACTTCAGGTCTGAGTAGACAAAGGGTCACGTGGGGCATCAAAAGAAGTGCCACGAGCATGGCCTGTCCTGAGCCCTGCACAGGGAGGCTCAGGATTCAGGTGACTCTTTTCTCCCCATCTATCCCAGCCTCCAATACAGACAATCTCCATGTGTCTTCAGATGTCTATTCCTGGTCGCCAAAGATCAATTCCAGGGTCCTTCTAGGTTTAAAGAGAAGAAGAATGATAAAGATAAGGAGCTTTCTGTTTATGAGGATTGGATTCATCACCAGATGCAAAGATAGCTACCAGGACCATGGGCCTCCCCTCAAGAACAAAGGCCTGTAAGGGCCACAGTGGCCCACTAGAAGTGTCCAACACACATGAGACTAAAAAGTTGTAAAGAAAGTTGGCACTGGTTCCCAAGAATGGACCTGGAGTTAAAGACAGTGTCTTCAAAGTATTTTTGAAAAGTAAAACTTGAACATGACATATGACCCTTCTCCCAAGGAACCACATGGCCTCTTGGCATGCCACATAGTCCAAAGGGCTCCTGCACCCTGCTATGCCTTCTCAGACTCTGCTGCGTAACTGCCTTCTAAATCACCTCCCCTGAACAGTTCAGCCTCAAAATGGGAGCATTTTAAATGCAGGCCAAAGTCATTGGGAAATAAGCCTCCTACTCCAAAATACAATAGAATCACTGTCATCAGCCCTGCCCAGCTAACCATTTTCTGCAGCATTAGCAACTAAAGCTGCACGCCAGGGGCTTCCCTGGTGGCGCAGTGGTTGAGAATCCGCCTGCCAATGCACGGGATATGGGTTCGAGTCCTGGTCCGGGAAGATCCCACATGCTGCAGAGCAACTAAGCCCGTGCGCCACAACTATCGAGCCTGCGGCTCTAGAGCCCACGAGCCTCAAATACTGAGCCCACGTGCCACAACTACTGAAGCCCGTGAGCCTAGAGCCCGTGCTCCACAACGAGAGAAGCCACTGCAATGAGAAGCCCGGGCACTGCAACCAAGAGTAGCCCCCGCTCGCCGCAACTAGAGAAAGCCTGCGCACAGCAACGAAGACCCAACGCAGCCAAAATTAAATAAGAAATAAATAAATTTATTAAAAAAAAAAGCGGCACACCAATTTATATCTCAGTGATGCTGCTGCACAAATCAGAAGTAGATAATGCTTCTTCAACTCGAGAACAGGCCAGGCCAGATGGCTGTGGGGTGGAACCTTACAAAAACGACGGACAACCAGAATGAGATTTTCTGCTGTAGCTAGCAGCTCAAGCTCTAATTTTGACTTCAAGAAGCTTACGGAACAGAGGATTAAAGCACTGGTGCTGTCTTTAACTAAAGATAGGAGTGACCACTCACATCAGTTTGTTCTTTTTTTTAAGGCTATTGGACAAATTCTAGAGCTTATATATTAAATATTCATACAATGTGGTAAAATTAGCTTTAAAATAACCACTCTTCAATAAAAGGAACAAGTAGATTCAAGTTAAGCCGCAGGAGAGGACTCAAAGACTTTCTCAAAGACTTTTCAGGCACAAAAGGCCAGAAATGTGGCAAAAAGAAAAAAAAAGGCTAAGTGCTTAACAACAGCAAAATCTACCTTTTGTCAACATATTAAAAAGTTGCAAATATGAGAGTAAAATTCTGTCCCCTTTTATTTAGAATCTTATCCTCCTTCACTTGCTTTAATTCCAGCAACAAAGTTCATCCTGGATTCAGATCCCTGTGTTGAGTTTTAAAAGAGTAAGTGCTCAAGAGAATGTCAAAAAAGGGGGAAGAGGGCTTCCGTGATGGCGCAGTGGTCGAGAGTCCGCCTGCCGATGCAGGGGACGCGGGTTAGTGCCCAGGTCCGGGAAGATCCCACATACTGCGGAGCGGCATGGGCCCGTGAGCCATAGCCGCTGAGCCTGCGCGTCCGGAGCCTGTGCTCCGCAAGGGGAGAGGCCACCAACAGTGAGAGGCCCGCGTACGGGGGAGGGGAGAAAGAAGCTGAAAGGAGGCTGCAAGTCAACGATATGGTAAATGGAGACGCCAGAGAACTTCTGACAAAAACTCGAAGGACAGTTTTTAGGAAGAAAAAGTTGTTTTAAAGGGGGAAAGGAGGGATAGTGAGGGAACCCACTGGGCCCCCAAACCCTGAGCACCTGTAAAATATTCAGGCACCTCAAGCCTTAACATCCAAATCATAGGACAATCAAGCACTACCAGATTCAAATGAGTGTGGAAAGAGGACTCAGGGTCCTCAATTTTGACAAGGCCAGTAGGTGTCACAGACCGGGTGCTGGGCAGTGGGAGCCCGGCTCTGGCGGGACAGGGGGTGGCCCCACCACACTGGTCTCGGAGGCAGACGGGTGGGTGTGGTTGAAAGGCTACCAGGACTTGTGCCAACTGACTGCACCTCCCCCCCCAAGTGTCCCACACCATCTCCCCAAAACATGGACTGTGCAAGCCCAAGTCTGACTACGAGACTCCTTCCGACTAAGAGGGCCCTTTTGGGAATTCCCTGGCAGTCCAGTGGTTAGGACTCCATGCTCTGACTGCTGACGTCCTGGGTTCCACCCCAGTCGGGAACTAAGACCCTACAAAACCCCGCTGGCGGCCAAAAAAAGAAAAAAAAAAAGGGGCCCTTTCAAGGCCTCTCCAGGTTCCTCTGAAGCCAGGAAGACTTGACTGAACCCCAACATACACGGGGAGGCCCGGGGCAAAGGTGCACTCTGCGCTCTGGGAATTGTAGTCTTCAGAAACCTCACGCTCAGGTTGGAGCAAACGACCTACTTTCTCTGCACACTACACTTCCCTGCGTACTTTGCGAAGACTCAGCCGGGGAACTACGCATGCCCAGTAAGGGGAGCTGGAGGAGGGTGGGAGAACCGAGGAAAAGTTTCCGATGCACATGCGCGTTGTGGCAGACTGGCGCCCCCCCTCCCCCGCCCACCGCCTAATACATTTTATATAAATTCTACCCATAAGGCCTACTCCCCGTATTGTGTCGCCCACCATATCCATGTCTCGGTTTCCCGAAAAACTGAACTTTTCTTTCTTCCTCTCTCTTCACTGCCTCGCAAGACAGTTGAATTAACAGCTTCTAATGAGTTTTTTCTGGGTGAAGGCGGTAGGCCGGGATAGATAGGAGTCACATCCCTCCCCCTCCCCAAACCTCTGCCACTTAATCTGTATTCCTTGGGCTGGGTGGTTTCCCTCTGGAGTTGCTGTAGGGACGGCGGATTCAAAGAGAAAGAGCCTTTTCACTTAACGCCCAGCGAGCTCCGCTGTAGCACCTCACAACCAGGAATGGAACGGCAGGAATAAACCCAGTTCTCCCGTCCTCTCGGCCAAAGAAATTCCCAGTTTTAAGCTGCGGGGAGGCGCCGGGCGGACAATCAGAAGGCCCGACGCCAGCAGGGCCCAAGCCTCACCCCTCTTCTAATCCAAGCCCGAGTAACCAGACCCGGCTAGGTAATGGGAAAGAGTTCCCGGGCAGGGAAGAAAAAACTGTACATCTGACAACATTTTCTAATACTTAAAAATTGTTTGTGAGTCTCCTTCCACTGCAAGGCCTGCTCTATTGACCAGACTTACCAGATCCTCGGCAAAGCTCCCCTGCAGGGTGTTAAACCTCCCTAATCCTTCCTCCCACACAAGCTTCTCTCCCCCTCCGCTTAAGAGGGGGATGGGGGCAGGCACCCAAGAAAGCAATAGGGATGTTTTTCTGCGGTTAAATCAAAGATGAGGGACCCACTCCCAGGGTAGGGTGGGCAGGAAGAAAAAAAGAAAGGTTAGATACTGAGCAGACACCAGGGACCCCCCTCGGCTAGCCCACGAGTTGACGCCTACTGTGTGGGGTTCTGGTTCCTCTAGGGGGTGGGAAAGGGCTGCCAGCTGCCCCTCCTCTCTCTGTTCCCTCCTCCTCCCCCTCCCTTTCTGGTCAAGGGCACAGTCCATCCTCTGGACAGGAGCTTAGGAGTAAGGCTCTTCCTCCCAGGCACCTCACCAGGGTCAACCTGAATCCACTCACTGATACTGCTGTAAGGGTACTTTTTTCCGCCCAGTTTTCCCTTAAAACACTAACGTGGATAAAGAGCTAAAGCCAAATGGTAAATTCTGGCTCGGCGGCCAGAGGACAGTCACCACTGACCGGTCCAAAAGGGGGGTGTCCACCCTCCATCCCTCAGGCTCCACAGGGCCAAAAATAAGCCCTATTAATTATTACCACCCTCCTTCCCCGCACACGGGAAAAGCAGAAAAACAAGGCCTGGATCCCCTTCCTTCTTCTGATTTTATTTAATGGTGGTGGGAGTTATGTTTTCGCGGGGAACAAGAAAAATCTAGCGACTCTCTAGGATATGAAGAACGGAGGGAAAAGGGAGGAAATGCACCGCACCCAGGAGGTGGCCACACTTGGAACAGGGAAAGAAAGGGGCTCTGGGATACCCCAGGATGAGAGCAAACGTGAGGGAAAGAAGAGCACGGGGAAAAGGTGGGGTCCAGTGAGGAGGCGGAAGGGGAACGGAAAATGTTAGCCAGGTGTAAGGGGGGGGCGACAGCAACGTGGAGAGTCCAAAGCGGAGAGCGGGAGTGGGGCGGGGGTAGGGGAAGGCGTCGGGCCTGTTGGGTCTCGGGGGGGCCCCCCGCCCGCACGCCCCCCACTCACTCGGGTCTCCGCGGCGGCGGGGCGGTGTGCCGGCCGCGGGGCGGCTTCTTCCTCCAGGGTGGTCCTGGGCGCGGGGCGGAGGTTGCTCTCCCTTCCCGGGAGCCGATGTGTCCTTTTCTTCGTTGAGGATGGGGGAGCGAGTGAGGGCGGTATGGGCTATGATTTCAATAATAATTCTTTCAGCTTTTTGGAGGTCGGGCTCAGCGGCGGGGGACAGAGGGCGGGCGGGCCGGCCAGCGGCGACGGCGCGAGGATGGAGGACCGGAGGGTTGCTCGTGTCGCGGGGCGGAAGACGGTCCCGGCTGTGGCCGGCGGACGGTCTTGCCCTTCTGGCCCCGCGTCGCCCAAGCCACTCGGTTCTCCCCGCCGACGACCCGCTCCTTCCCGCGCCCCTGCCCGAAGTGAGCAAAGTCAATGAAAAGTTTCACCCTTAGCAACCCTGCGCACGGATCCGGCTTCCCCACCCCTGCGTGATGCGTCCCTCCGCCCTGCAGGGGCGGGGCCGAGTGCCGGGCCGGGACTACTTCCCAGCCGGCTGACTGGAACTCTGTAAAGGTTTCAGACCTATATCAACGCGGCTTAGCCCGAATAATCCGAGTTCCTGGTGCTTCGTCGGGGGACGCGTAACGTCGAGGGAAGGGCGAGGGGGAAACCTGGGCCCGGGCAGAGCGGGAGGAAGAGGGGGCGAGGAGAGGCCGAACGGCCAGGAAAAGGAGCTGAGCGACACATTAACCTTCCGCTTGCCGCTTCTGGCGCCCGTTAACCTCGCGGCGCGGACAGGGCCAGCGCCGGTTCCGCTCAGGCGCGCGAGCTGTCCCCTGCCCGCTCCGGGCGGGGCTCAGCTTCTCTGCGGACGCACCCGTAGTTTCTCCCAGGTCGGCGACCCTAAGGGGCACCAGAGCCACATGTCTTCTAGTAACAGCCCCCGCCGTTGGGGGTGGCGCCTGCCCGTGCCAGAGGCGCCGCGCTTTCGCACCCGACGGTCCCTCGGGCGGCTGACCCAGGTTCGCCGAACCCGGCACCCTCGCGCGCTCGGCACCCCCGGCCCGGGCTATGGCCACGTGGGCCACTCGGCTACTTTGTGACTGTGCGGGGCGCGGAGTTGGGGATAGGGAGGCCTGTGCCCAGTGAGGTCATAAGCGGACTGGACTGCCAGGTGGTAAAGCCCGGGGCCGCTGGGAGCTTGCGCCTGAAGTCTTCCCATCCCTTCTTCAATCGCCCATTCCCCAACTCTCCCCACCCCCGGTCTTTATTTTCATTCCAGACGGTTCCAGCCCAACAGCCGCCAAACCCACGTGGGATGGCGAGATGCGAAAGTTTCCAGCTACGTACGGTTTGCAGTTTTTTTTTTTTTTCCTTGATCACTTTTGTTGGCAGGGGCAGAGAGCAACGGTAGCGTGCGGGTTTAAGTGCGCTTTCTTTCCTGTAGAGAAACGCTGGACTGGAGGGCAAACTCCAAGGGGACAGAAAAGGGGAGGGAACCTGAGCGCGAGAGCTCCCATCCCCCACACTCTGAGCGCTTCAGCCCCTGAGGCACCTCAAGGGACTACTTGCTTGTGCGTCAGCGAGTTCCAGAGCGTCACACACACGCCTCCTCCGCCTAGCCCCACTCCGCCCCTCCCCTTCTTTTTCCTCCTTTACCTCGTTCCCCTCCCCTCCCCTCCCCTCCCCT